TTTGTTAAAGGGAGTAATGGATCGTAGGTTCTTTGTTTATTTTATTTTTTTGAACAATGTGAGGACGTTGTTTTTTTTCATTGTTCGCTTTTTAAGAGCTAAAATTGAGATATAGTTGAAATAGAAATACTAATTGCTTCAACATGTAGAAGGTGGAAATTTCCATTGTTGTCGCTGTTTATTCTGTTTATGAATTAGATACGTTTATGAATGATTGATACAAGATATGTTTATGAATAATACACTGTTTATTCTGTTTATGTTTGTTTATAATAGTATATATTTATTTCGTACAGCTATCTAAGCTTCTGATTACTTAATAGACACATCCGTTAATTAGGAATTTTGCCCCCTACCTTAAAACATTTTGTTAAAAATTAGATCTAAAAGCGCTTACTGTAACCTTTTTTTAAACGTTGCTCCAGTATTTTCTCCTGTGTCGTGGGGTGCGTTTATAAACATAGAAGTTTACATACACATGACACCCGGACCCGGAACACCAAGGAGTTGCTCCATGCGGGAATCGAACACGCGACACGTTACGCGGCAGCCAGTTGCCCAGCCACAGCACCAACCGCGCCGACAATCCGAACTTAAATCCAAACTTGCAATAATAATTACTAATCTAAAACCTATTAAAGAAACTGTAAGGGCAATAAACTCTACCTACTTCAGTTTGAACTTAATAAAGCTCAAACAAATAGACGATAAAGCTAGAAAACTAAAAATATAATGGAGACGCAAAAACTTTTCAAAAGTTTTCAGACAATATTTCGAAGGAATCGCGACTCGAGTTGCGTGACTTTATTTACTCCGCTCTTGTAAAGCATGGGCTATACTGGTAGCTATAGCTATTTGAATTGTATAGCGCACGAGAGATTTAGCTAAACGAGGTTTAGGGACGCGCTCCTCGCAACACAGCCATCGCGAAGGACACTCCGCGCGTCGGAGATCGCGGGACGATCTCCGGCCATAGTAAGCGCGGGCCTGCGGACGGCGAGCATGGGTGGCTCGCCGCCTGACCAGAACCAGACCCGAGCGTATGGCGCGTCGCGTACCGCACGCGCCTCAGAGAGCTATCAGACTACCACGGATGGGGCCCAATAGGGCTGATGCCGATACTGAGCCGCGGAGAACCTAACGGGTTACCGGGGCTCCGGCTCGAAGTGTATGAGTAGGAACGGGGTGGTTTTTAATCAGTAAGAGTCTGACACTCCCTCTCACCTAACCCAAGGCGGGAGAAGTCATTCCATGATTTTCCGCCCTCAAAAAAGCCATATTTTATTCGTGTTCATATCGTTTCCTAAAACGTTCATATCGTTTCCTAAAACTGCGACCAGCCACTGAGGAACAGGAGGTAGCATCCTTTTTCGGCGACTAACCATGATTTTTAAGCTTCCAATCAAGCATGGGGGATGTTTACAAACCCCTTTTACGAGGCTTTGATGATTATGCTTGGTTATCTAGTTAAAAAAGAAAAAAATGTTTGACATCGCTTTCATTAGCTCGCTATCAGTATGATCTACCCTTTAAACAGATGACAGAAACAAATTGCTTTGTTCAACGTTGCCTCAACAAATAAACTATTTTTGATGACATTTCAAATGGGAAATTAGATTTGTGCGGCGAATCAACCATTTTATAGCAACTTTTGTAGTTTATCCATTTAAAAATTGTCTGTAATAGCTTGGGATTTGGAATTGTGCCCGGTGTATGAATAGGCTTTCATATCACAACCTAATGTGGGTTTTACATAGTATGTGGTAGTATTGTAGAGGTAGGTACACATCTCAAGTGTGAGAGAGCCATGCTTCGGCACGAATGGGCCGGCTCGACCGGAGTGATACCATGGCCTCACAGAAAACCGACGTGAAGCAACGCTTGCGATGTGTTTCGTCGTGTGAGTGAGGTTACCGGAGGCCCAATTACCCTCCCCTTCCCCAATCTCCCCAATTCCTGAATCCCCAACGATCCGCAAACTCCTAATCCCCAAAAGGCCGGTAACGCACTTGTAACGCCTCTGGTATTCCAGGTGTCCAGCGCGACGCCGATTGCTTACCATCAGGTGATCCATCTGCTCGTTTACCGGCTTATGCCATAAAAAATCTCAATCATTTATTTATTTATTTTTTATTTGATGGGGCGACGTTTGACGATGTTTGAATGTTCTTGTAACAGGATTATTCTTATCTTCTTATATCAAGCAAATTGATTGCCTCGTTGGCCGAGTGATCGCAAGTGCGACTGCCGGACAAGGGGTCTCGTGTTCGATTCCCGGGTAGGGCAAAGTATCACTGGGGTTTTTGAACAAATCTCAGTAGAAATATAAAAAAAAATAGGAGCACGGAATTGTGCCCAGTATATGGCAATAGGCTCGCCCCCTATAACATGGGACTCGTAACATAAATAGTGAAAGTGGATGATACAATGTACAGTGGCATTAAGTGCAGTAATGTGGACCTCTGCCTACTCCTTCGGGGATAAAAGGCGTTATGTTATATTCCTGTATTGCTGTTGCTGATATAGTCATCATTGTAAATTAATACTTTGTTACTAAACATTGAATCATTTTTAGAAACCCTGTCAAACCTGCACAGAATGTATTGAAAATGTAAGTAAAACACACATTAAAAAAACACCATTTAAGAATAAACACTCATATCCAATGAAATTGAAACTTCACAACCAAAGATTACAAAACACAAAACCAATTTAGGCGATAGGAAACGCCGTTTAGTTAGCTTATAAATCCATAACAATTTCAAATAATTCACAATAGCTACAGGCAAATTGATCCCAATTGTGCGCGGGCGGTGCATGGCTTTCATAATGCGCAAGAGTCGATGCGCGGAGAAAGTGCGCGTGCGCCGTGGGTGGACTATGATAGGAACAGGACTGTGATGACGAGAGCTTGTAGTCAGCTGATTGTGGGAAACTGTAATTGGGTCAGTTTTGTTACTTATTTTATTTATATATGTTATATGTTTAAGGATATGGTCGAAGTATTTGTATTGTGCATTCCTTTTGTAATTGTCTTGGGTATTTTCTTGGCTAAAAAGTTACAGGAATGACAACTAAGTATGCACTAAGGATAATACTTTTTAGGGAATAGTGAGTAGTGTTAACTGAGATCGGAAAAGGAGGATCCTCCGACCAGGCGAGGTGATCGTGCCTGGCAGGCTTTCTGCCCAACAGTAATTCGTTGGGATTTTCTATCCGTGTTAATTCGTATGTCATTTGTCTTGTGTCATGTGTCGCCACAATTAGATCTTTCATTTTTACAATTCATACGTACAGCCTGCCTATTTATTGTATTTTTGACATGACTATAGTAATTTAATTTGCTAGGTGCTACTTAAGATTCGCATTTTTTTTAAAGATAAGTAACGCAGTTCTCATGTTTTGTGGGTGTATATAAGCGGCGTTGGTCATATGCAAGCAGGTGACCCATAATTGGGATGATGGCAGGGTATGAAAATTAAAAATCTAATTAGTCCGTAAGTTAGGTAATGAAAAAATATTAGACACGTATTTTTTATTCTGTCCTATAATAAAATAAAACGAATCAAAGTTTCGGAGTGGGGGCTAAAACGTCATTTCTACGTATAAAATGTAGAGGTACATAGAAGTGACGTCACGCGATATTTCAAATCAATATATCGTCGAAAGTATTCGTTTCTGTAAGAAAATAAACAATACGTGTCTAATGAGTTAAAATAACCTACCAGACGGACATTAAAATAAAAATTAGGCATCTACCCTATTGCTCACTTTCCATGAAAATGAAGTTTTCTGCAAAAGTCCCTTCATTTACCTAGCTATCATTGAATTAATGTTATTTTATTGTGTCAAATCCATCAATGGATTGAAAAAAAAAGTATGCCAACATCGTGAGATTTAGTGGCTAAATTAAAAATAAATGGTTTTAAATATAGCTACACTTCATTGGGCAATTAATTTCAAATGCAAATGAACCTGAGTCATCTGTGCCTATCGTTGTATCGTTGGATAGAATCTGCATAATCTGTGCTGTGACGTAACATCCCAACCGGGGTGGATCACTTACGCAAGAGTTTAGCTGCGCGCGCAATGAAAGTGACTTCGAGATATATATATATTAATAACTTAATACTAACATGTTATTATGTTTTTAACTCGTTGAGTACCGTCATTATAGACACAAATAACAATAGGTTGCGGTCACCGGTGTCGTCGCGGTGTTTGACAGTTTAAAGGATAATCGGATAATCATATTGTCGCACTTGTATCTGAACTGAAATAGGATTTTCATAAACACAAATAAATATGTAAAATAAAAAAGTTTATTTATTTTATTATATTATGTACAAAGTACAATTAAGTATGTGAATTTAAAATTAAATTATATTCATTACTTCGCTTCTGAAATCAGAAGATATTACACAGTACTTATAATTCGTATGAAACACATTACAAGAATTAAAATTCACTGGTTGTTATTTTTCATTCCATAAAATACATTTGCATTGAATTGTTAGTTTATGGTAAAAAATCTACTTTAATCCTTAAACACTTAACTCTAAAGCTACTTATCAATTAAACAGTCCAAATACTAGTTATTGTTCATAGTCTTTCTAAAATTTTACTTTCGTCCAAGACCGACTGTCTTCTTATATTCTCCGTATGTATAATGTACAATAGGCAACACAGGTAGGTACAGGTAGTTCGACTGTTGTTTGGGGTCATCGTATTATTTTATTTAGGTTGTTTTTCCCTCCTAGAAAATGGTATTTAAATCATAGTTCAATTATGTCTGAAGTTAATAACCTAGCCTAATTCAAAAGCTTACAAGACAGAACCTTCATACAACTAATCTCAAAAACCAGGGGGTTTACTCTTGAATCCAATTCCGATCGATCGACATTGGTATTGAGAGATTTCGTACTCTCGAGTTGCAACACTAGCGTCCATTGCATCCATGTTGCGTGGATATTGAATGAACTAAATGGTATTGAGTTTGGCTTTATATTCCGTACTCTGAATGCTATACCCTTGTGGGATGTTTCTTTTTTTAATGTTGCACTAGGACTATGTCCTGTGTCGAGGATACAAACATCTAAGTTCACATACACATGACACTCAGACCCGAAACAACAATTTGTGGATCACACAAAGATTTGCTCCGTGCAGGAACCCGCTACACGTAGCTAGGCAGCAGGTTGCCGAGGAACGTGTAGTGGGTGTATGTCTGTCATACAAATTATTGGGCCTTCGGGGCCCCCTGAGAGCCCTTATGGTAAAGACGGTACTGTCAACAACCAATCTTAAAGAACAAATGGCTTAAGTATCGGTTATAATTTCACCCACTAGTGAATAGACAAGCCTAAGTCCGGATTGATGCAAGTATTGACATAATCTGACCTTGAATTCAAATTCAAATCGTTTATTGTGAATATAGGTCAAGTGTAGATGTTACAGTAGTTATTATAGAATAATTTGATCAACTACATTCTGCCATCTAGCATGCAATATTACGAAAATTACAATTACTACCTATTTTACATTGTTAAAATTAGACATAATTTGAGTTGTCTATTAATTCGTTGAACTGGTGATTAAATGTCATTTTGTTTTTGGGGAAAAAGCAAGGCACGTCATGGCAATTGCTCTGTTTAAAAAAAAATAAGTTCTGACCATTATTCACTCGAATCTTTTTATAATTTAGAGCCACCTCCAAAAGAGCTGGGAAAACCAAGAAAAAGCCGTAACTTAGAAGCTAACTTACATATAACTAATTTTAATATTAAACTTAATTAAAATTAAAGTACTATCACAATACAATTATGTTCTGCGTTATTTTTAATTTGAACATGTGTAAAAATATTGACGTCTGTGAATTGTATATTTTTTTTATATTATGTAAAGCATGACTATAGGTAATTCATAATGCAAAAAAAAACGTTAATCACCTCTACATCTCTCTCTCTAAGCCAATGGCATTATTGAATAGTAAATATATATAATCTTTTTTTAATGATGGGCCGACGATAGACCTCTATCTCGCCTGGTGGTAAGCGACATTTAACATAATTAATCGAATGTCAGTCAATCACATAACATTTCCCTGTACTTCCAATCTTAGAATGCTATTTATCAAGCCTTTATGACTTCTGTGACAAGCCCCCGAGAAATGACACTGTTTCAAAACTACACCTTGTATATATTATCATCATAGTATCGGATATGGAGCTGTAAATTGCGAAACATTTATAAAAAATTAAATTTCATATGCTATGGAGCATTCAGCTTAAAATGAGACAACTATAAAAGAACGGCTCAAAAACTGAGATACACTTTTTAACGTTTATAACTTCTTAAAAACCAATAAAGTTAAATCTTCTCTTCTCTCTTATTCTTGTTCCTTCTCGAAGAAGTCTTCTGTCAGAGGCACGTAAGATATTTGGTCGTACGTGTAAGCATCAAAGAATTTCTGTGTGACGTTCATAGCGTAGTCTATGGCGTAGTCTAGGATGGGACCACCGAAGTCTTTGGCTAACGTCTGTGAATCAGCGTTCAGGACTTGAAGTACTTGCGCACCTGTTGGTAGAAGACGAAATTGATTAGTTAGAGCATAAATGATTACTTGAAATTCTTGATTATTTAATTGTTATACATTTTTATATGTAGTGATTTCTTACATGTTATCGTAAACGTCTTTTTGTTGGAGGTTAAATGAAAGAGACCTCCAGTGTTAAAATGTAACATTAATCTTTTTTGATTTCACAGTCACTAGCAGCTTGTAATTGTTCCATATACCTACCTAAGAGAGAAAAGTACATGAAGTTTTTACGGATGACCTTTTGAGACAAAAATAACATACCGAGACCTTGTCCTACACAGAATATAATTAGGTATTTTTTTTTTTTTAAGGGGGAAAAATCATCGAATGACTGCTCCCGCCTGGGTGAGGCGGGAGGGAGTGTCAGACTCTTACTGACTAAAAACCACCCCGTTCCTTCTCCTGCACGTCGAGCCGGAGCCCCGGTTACCCGTTAGGTTCTCCGCGACTCCGAATCGGCATCGGCCCTATTGGGCCCCATCTGTGGTGGTCTGATGGCTCTTTGAGGTGCGCGCGGAACGCGATGCGCCGTACGCTCGGGTCTGTTTCTGGTCGGACGGGGAGCCACCCATGCTCGCCGTCCGTAGGCCCGCGCTTACGGTGGCCGGAGATCGTCCCGCGATCCCCGACGCCCGGTGTGTCCTTCGCGATGGCTGGGTTGCGAGGAGGCAGCGCTTCGCTGCCTCACGCGTCCCGCCTCCTCCTTAGCTAGCATGACTGCTTCGCAAAAGGAGGAGACGGCATCCCAATCCCCCTCGCTCCGCATCATGGCCTGCACTAGGCCCGGACGCGAGAGGTCGCCATCGCCGATCACTTCCCTGAGGGCACGGCGGTGCTCAGCCCACGCAGGGCATTCTCCCACCGTGTGTTACACCGTGTCCTCAGGGCGGCCCTCGCAGTGATGACACCCGGGCGTTTCCTCCCGCCCCATCAGACACAGGTACCTCCCGAAACTCCCATGTCCGGTGAGGACCTGCGTCAGGCGGTAGGTGAGGACGCCGTAGCGTCTCTCAAGCCACTCCTCAAAGAGGGGACTTACCGCTGCGATGGCAGCGAGCCCAGCCCTCGGTTGCGACAGTCGTTGCTGCCATTCCGCCGTGAGATCGCGCCGGAGCTCATCCCGCCACGCACTTATCTGGCGTGGCAGCGGAGTTTCGCCCCGGCGACGTGCCTCCGCGCGCATGCTATGCACGCGCGCGAGCACCTTCGCCTCCAGATCCCACGGCGGTATACAATTAGGTATTACGTTGCGGAAATCCATACCAAAGAGATATTCTTAGGAATTAACAATAGACATTTTTCCTGAACTAAACATGGACACAAATCAAGCTATACATATCTAGTATATCATGGTCCCGCTTTGTATGATCTTACCGAACATTCAATGCTCAGCTTATACTGGTTTTCATAACACGATGTGGCCTTATTACCTTGTCCATCGCTATGTTTGGTCGTAAGTGACACCCCAGTCTAATTACCAGTCTCCTTGAGATGAGACACCTCTAGAGGCTCCGTGATCGAAATGCGGATAGAATAAAGCATTAAAAATTTCCTCAAACTTCGACAAAAACATCTTTACACAATATGGTTTAGTTCTAACATTGACATTGTATGTACCCCAGCAGGTCAAGTTATTCCATTCTGTCAAATTTTTTCATAGGAATTTCGAATGTATGTTAAAACTATAAGGTTGAAAATTGAATACATGAGTTTGACAGAAAATAGTAGGTTAATCTGCATGAGTTTGTACGTCAATATTTGTCAGTACGTTCATTGAAAAACGTCAGGTCAAGGGTAGGTGTTGCTTCGAAGAAACTGCTCCGACCCGTCTAAGAATTTTCAACTCTATCGTTTTGTGATTAAGTAGATATTTTTTTGAACCGTATTACCAGGGTAGGTTGATATGCAAGGACGCTCTCTAGGATGTTTTTTTTGCGTGTATAACCGTTTTTATTGTTTGACTTTGATCTTTATTGTTTACTTGTTAAGTATTGATTTGGTTTAAATATTACATAACTTTATGTTTGTTTTGTTCTAGTATAAATAACTAGATAGTATATTAATATGTTATTTTTGCCCACAGTTTTGTGTAGCTACCTTCATGTAAATATAAGAAAATTTTTTTTTACTTATTGATATGTCACAAATTATATTTTAAATTACTGGCTACGTAGACATATTAAATGAATAAAGCTGTCCAAGTTGTCTAGTGATTTCAAAATAATTATAAAAACATTATCGGTGTTTATTTTTAATTTATGATTCGTTTCGATTTTGTTTCAACGTCTGAAAGTTAACGTTCGAAGGAAACATCTATTATGCCTATTTATTGATCACGCGTATTTCGTAATTAGGTATTTGCTGTTTTTTTTTAATATTTATCTATAATTAACTACAAACTCTAAATATAACTGCAATAAACTTCTCAATATCTTATTTAGATTACTAATTGTTATTTTCTCAATTAAACATAAAAATCAATTTATGTGATTATTTTTTCATTTTGTTTGATTTGCATAATCAAAACCGTGCTCGGCACAAACGTTTTGTTTATGAATATTTTTTTTGTATAACATAAGTCCAATTTTATTTATCTGTATTGATGTTCTTTTTTTAAAATCGTTGCCCCACACTCAGATTTTCTCCTGTGTGGGGGGGGTGGGTGCGTTTACAAACATACAAGTTCACATACACATGACACCCAGATCCGGAACAACAATCTATGGATCACACAAAGAGTTGCTCCGTGCAGAAATCACACTCGCGACACGTTGCTCGGCAGCCAGTTGCCCAGCCACAGCACCAACCGTGCAGTCAAGATCTGTTTAGATTATAAAAAAAGGGCCTGATACTTACTGATCTGTGGGTTTCCTCTGATGAGGTTTGTTAGGTTCAGCTTCAGGTCTGTTCCGTAGTCAGCCTTGTACTTGTATGAGTTGATCTTGTAGTGACCCTCGCCATTCTTCTTCAGTATCACTCGTTCTATCACCTCTAAGCGAATACGCTGGTTGTCTGGGAGAAAAGATAACGTTAATGTTGACTTTAGTTTTCATGGTAGGTCTTGTTACATTACAGTCGTCGCATCGCGTGTCGGGGAATGCTGCGCATGAATATGAGCCTCTAGCATGGCTTGAAACTAGTCGAGTTTCTCGTCAAACAGTTACTTGAGTAAGCTGAAAGTACCTCTATAATAAAATAAATTTAATATGTCTCACGAGTTTTAGTATCAGTATACGACTTCTTATTGCGATTAGTAAACCGGTTCACAATCACAACATAATCCAAATTATCAGGTAAGTTCGTAGTTGTAAGTGTAACATAAAATCAAGTCGTTTTTTTTATACCACGGCGGTGGCAATGTCCACACGGCCCACGGCAATATCCACACGGCCCACCTGATGGTACGCGGTTACCGGTCGTTTAACCAACTGAGAGATAGTTAGAATTAGACGCGAACTTATGTTATGTGTGTCTCATGTATGAGGACATGTGCCCTTTTTTATAGCATAAGCCTATAAACCAGCAGATGGATCACCTGATGGTAAGCAATCGGCGCCGCCCATGGAAACCCGAAACATAAAGGCGTTATTTATTATAAGTGCGTTACCGGCTTTTTGGGAAATGGGAATTTGAGGATTGTGGAGGACTCGGGGATTCGGGAGACTAGGGAGACTAGACACAACGAACACAACGCAAGCGTTGTTTTCCGTCGGTTTTCTTTGAGGCCGTGGTATCACTTCGGTCGAGCCGGCTCGTTCGTGCCGAAGCATGGCTCTCCCACACTTAAAGATCGTGCTTGCACGTCGTTTAGCAAGATTGATAAAATGAAATGAATTTTATTGTTGTTATTATTAAAATCTAGAGTTGAAAAAAGAATAAATTATTCATGAATAGTAATAAAGGTCAAGTGAAACAAGTGAATTTATTTCTGCAAATAAATTCACTTGTTTCACTTGCTACAAGGCAGCACTTTTACACGTCAATTTTATCAAGCGAACGATGAGGTCGAGGTCATAAAGAAGTACCTGCTAGCAATGAGCAACCGGCCAATCTGTTAGTCATTGAGGGAATTCTATGTTTTACCGGCCTTTTGAGAATTGGGAATTTGAGGATTGTCGGGGATTCGGGAATCGGAGAGACTGAAGAGGTGGGGGGGGGGGTAATTGGGCCTCTGGTAACCTCACTCACACGATGGTTTTCTGTGGGGCCGTGGTAACTCTCCGGTCGAGTCAGCCTATTCGTGCCGATGCATGGCCTTCCAACTTTCAGCAGTAAAGAGAGGAACTTAAGAAATTATACATACAGATCTTGATCTTGGCCTGTCCATCAGTATCCAGGTTGAAGAGCAGCAGCCTGCCCAGTAGACTGTACTGTCCACTCACTGTGAAGTTGCAGTGCATGTCGAACACAAACGTGCGCTTCTTACGACGAGATCTGTACAAAATGGAAACGAGATCAATTAAAACCAGATTAGATAAGTTACAGAAGCATGACCCATATTTAGTCTCTACTTCTCTAGTCACACTAGGCGTAACAAATTAGTGACTATGTTCATATTTCAGTCGCCTCGAATAATATCAATGTGATCCTGTAATCATGTCTGTACATCGAAATATGTAAGACATAGGTTCAAAACAATTAAATTCGTGCTAAAATATTAAAATATTTATTATTTTTTAGAAGAGAGAAGGAAAGGAAGAGAAATAATGTACAGTAAGATTAAATCAATATTAAAAAAAACAACAAAATTTATAAAAATATATTTAAAAAAGAACAACATGCCCATGACAAAAGGGCTTCCTAACTTAGTATGAGCTGGGCACAATAAGTACCCAAATTTCCGATTTTAACACGTTTGCAGACACTACCACTTGAGTTGGGTTTCCAGAATGATACAGTAGTTAAATGTCTATACAAAATTATATAGTGTCCTACGAAAAAATATTGTTTTAAACATATCATGACACAACTGTTATATCACGTCAACGTGTATATGCATCTTGGTAAGGATCCGCCTCGTTGGAGGTGTCGGAATCATCAAACATGTTTATCTTATGTCTTATTTCGCGCTTATATCCATCTAAAACACACAATAAACCATCAAACATTAATTTCAAATTAACATCTCGAACGATAGCGTTTATTCTCGTTCTGTCCACGAACGTGTTAAATAGTTATTCTTTATAGAATCTGGAAGTGTGTTCAGTAATTAGCGAAATACTTCTTATTTAGATAATCAAACTTCGTAAGTATTGTACAAAGCCCTCCGTTTTATTTCGATTATATTGTGTATGTATCTTTGTTTATACCACAATATCTCATAAACTCAGCGTCAGTCAATACCAACAAAAATTTAGACCGCACACTTATGCATATAATCGGACGTAATTACGCAAATACGCGCTGCGCACGCGCATCAAACAACGGATTGTGAGATAATGGCGCATAATGATGAAGATTTGCGTGTTTTTCGAACGTACACTATGACATGCTACGCAGGTAATGATTTAGGTACAAATACCGTCATGCTTTTTAGCCGTTGAGGGGTCAAATAAACAGAAGTGTAGATAGATACCAGTAAAAATAACTTCGATTTTTAACCAATTCCAAAGAAACACGAAGGTTTACAGTTTTACCTGTACCTATGTTTACCCGATTATCTCGTTACTGGTTGAACCGATTTTGGAGTGATTTTCAGGTTTATTACTGTAATACACCGAGCGGTCACCGGTGACCGCAACCTATTGTTCTTTAATTGTGTCTATAATGACGGTACTCAAAAGACCCTAATATATTTTAACCGCTTACAAAAAAAGGTGGTGAATTCAGTTTTTATTAATTTTTTTTTTTTTTTTATTAAAAAATTGCCCCACACTAGGATTTTCTCCTGTGTCGTGGGTGCGTTTACAAACATACAAGTTCACATACACAATGACACCCAGACCCGAAACAACAATTTGTGGATCACACAAAGTGTTGTCTCGTGCGGGAATCGAACCCGCGACACGTTGCACGGCAGCCAGTTGCCCAGCCACCGCACCAACCGTGCAGTCTTTAGTTTAGTTTATTGATCTACATAAAGAATGAAATTGTATATTAAATAAATTAAACTTAAAATAAAACATATATTCAGTATACCAGTAATAAGTAGGTATTGCAACAATACAATATTTTATATGTACCGGTTTTAGTTTTGACTTTTGATATTCACAAGGTCAAGTTTGTAATTTTTTCGGTGTCTTTCAAATGCAAGTGACATTTACAGTGTTGCCATACCTAAAAAAAACAATTTATTTGTTATTCACGAATTAGGTAATGAAGGCATTTTTTAAAATAAAATCATGTGTCTGATAATAATAAGAAATCAAATTATTGTAATGAATTTAAACTTGTTTTGAATTTGGATTTATTTTTTTTATTTGAATTTTAGTCTAGATGACTAGTTTTATGTCTGAATTTTTTTATCTTCAAGACTTTTGACATTAACGACTATGGCTAAAACACGAATAACTAGATTATATAAAAAATAGATAGACCAGACACATAACAATAAAAAAAATGTCAGATAACATAGAAATACACTTAATATTATAAATTTGTTAGCGTTTGTTTGTTTGTCCGTCTTTCATGACAGAATGGCGCTAAAAACTAACCTGATTTTTTTTTAAGTGGAGTTAGTTAAAATGATGGAGAGTAACATAGGCCACTTTTTGTCTCTTTCTAACCCACCACTTCCCTAAAACAGGCGGTGGAAGTTCATATGAAGCATTTCGTAATTTTCAAGGTAGAATATTAAAAATGGGCGTGGCAAAAATACGTGCACTATTTCTTTTTTATATTTTGTACACCTGCCCCAGCATTTTTAAATACGACGAGCGAAGCCGTGGACAGAAGTTAGTTAGGTATAACTTGAATAACCATGATCATTATATGACGTCAATTCATAACATTAGCAGTTTTTGTGAGACTAAATAGTAACTATTTTAAGTTCAAACTGCCTTTAAATCCTTTCAAACTGGCGTAGAACAAGACATAAGAATACATAAAAATCTATCGTTAAAAATGGTATTGTATATTAACAACACGGTACCATTTTACAATGTATATTGTACAATAGGTACCATTTTTTATTCATTAAAAAAATAAATAATTAGGTAGCCATTTTTGACGCTTAAAAGATATTGTGTTGGCTCAGGATTCAAGGTAAAAGAGTTTTAGGGGCTGGAACTACATAAGCCTTGTAATTTACTTTAAATACACATTTTTTCCTTCCAATTACACCTAGGACTGCATCACCTATATAACTAAGAGTGCCTATGGAATTATGTCCGACTCAGTACAATTTTAAATCCATATAAAGTTTAAATAAATTATTATTACTGTTCTAGGACTTATCATCAAAAATACCTAGAATTAGGTTTAGTAGGAATTCGGTAATACATTCTAAAGTATCTGTTTTTGCGTGCTAAGTAATGGTTAGTTTGTTCGACCTCCAGTCTCCTACAGATGTCGCAATAGGTGAAGAAACTATGTGTATGTTGTTTATGAAACGTTGGGTGATGGTTTGCTAGATATTTTTGTGGTTTGTGGGATAATGTGTAGACATAGATGTTCGGAGAATCGTCTATTGAGAGGAATATACCGAAGTCGTCCCATATAGTTTCACTATATTAGAAGCTGGAGGGTGTTCCTGAAGGAGTTGAACAATATTAAACGTAAATACTGTTTAAATGGTAAATTTCCTTTTGCTAAGAAAATTTCATTGAAACTCAGCAAAAATCTTCTCGAAAAAATAAATGAATCCAACGCTTATTTGACCTTGCCAGTTTAGAAAAAGGAAATTAATTCTAAATAATGCAATAAATTCTACGGCCACTGAATATTCATTGCATTTCGAATTTCATTTTAATAATTATGAGAAAAATGTTCTAGGTTAAAAGTTTACCAATCGATAGCTAAGTAATTTGGCTTTATATATGACCGTATTAAACAGTCTAATTCTTCACTAAGCAAAGATCAGCAGCACCTTCTAAATTTCGGTGACCTAACTACGATCCCCGAGCCACCTGTCAATTGAGGGGATTATGGCAAACCCTTACTACTGCGTTGAAGATCGTTTGATGATTAACTCGTCGAGTACTGTCATTATAGGCACAATTATAGAACAAAAGGTTGCGGTCACCGGTGACCGCTTGGTGTTTGACAGTTTAAAAGACATCTTCTGGCCGATAAATGAAAGCACGGTTGTCGCGGTGGCTCATATGTATGTGAATTTGTATGTTTGTACCAGCACCCACGACACAGGAGATAATCCTAGAGTGGGGCAACGTTTTAAAAAAAAGAATATAAAAGCAGACTGCTATGTTTTTCTTCTCTGATAATATCTCCTGTTTTATTTCGCTTTCGGATCCAAGACAGTTATTCAACGCCGGAATTCAGTATTCGGTAGTTTTCATGGTTGTATCGACTGTAGATTCTGGATTATTGGAGTTGCAGCGGTTTTGGGAGGTTGTGGTGGGCTTGTCCCAAAAAAAAGCAGACAATTTTTTTTTAAGTATGTAGTTATTCAACGCCGGAATTCAGTATTCGGTAGTTTTCATGGTTGTATCGTCTGTAGATTCTGGCATACAGGTGTTGCAGCGGTTTTGGGGGGTTGTGGTGGGCTTGTCCCAAAAAAAAGCAGACAATTTTTTTTAAGTATGTTGTTATTTGGACTGATTGTTGAGATCATAGATATATTATTTAATGGAATTGTCAGGGTTTCTCCTTCTGACTACCCATAATATAATGTCAGCCATTGATAGAAAAACATGAGATTTCCTTTGTCTTTGTCTAGCAATTGCTGCAATTTAATCAGTTCCGTTATGGCACTGGTTTTTATTTATATGGTCAAGCATGACAGGATATTTTCTTATCTACATGGTGCTTATAAGGTATGGGCAATTCGATTATATGTTCCGGTTCTTTTAGTAAACAATGTAACTTACTTAACGTTTTGATCCTAAAAGTGGTAGGAAAAGGTCCTTTTTTAATTCCATATCAAAATATCGATTCATAAACCGCAGATAGAGGATTTTTAAATCAGAGAATTATGACGGAATTGGATCAAGTACTTAATTCGCCACTAGCGCCCTCTACTATGGCAAAAATTTGTAACTAGTTTAGTTTTAAATTCTTAAATATTTTCAAGAAAAATAATTTGGGGTATGTCGATGAGCTGGTTTTGATACAATAGTCCTTATTGCGGAAGCATAGATTATATGATAATCTTATGTGTCCCCATTGACCACAATGATTACCTATTGTAAGAGCTAAATAATTTATTGTCATGCAAATTATATTGTTTTAGATTAGAAGGTTATTGATGTCTGTGTCGAGAGACATTTATATTGGAACTTGATCATAACGTTACGTCTATTTCTTGAAGCTAGAAGTGCACCTATTTAAAGAGGTCTAATTTTAAAATGTAATAATTCTTGAAACTGCGTTTAAAAAAACCGATTTCTTTTGCTATCGGTTAATGTACTAAAACCTTCTCCGAAGAGTAACAAACGCTTTTCTTTTCTGAAAACCGCATCAAAATTGTTACAGCCAATCGCAATATAATCGCGCACAAACATACATAAATACAAATCACTTGTCCTTTTTTGAATTCGATTAAAAATAAGGGGTGGTTCTACTGTAATCACTATTCCAAAATTTCTATCCAAATGTCGTTAAAATAAGTAGATGATGAACAAATTAGGGGAGGTTTATCTCTGGTACTATCGGCTAGATTTTAAAACCAAACAGATTAATTCACTATCTTAACAATCAATTATAAACTTAAATGCTTTCTACTTACGACACTTTATCCGGTATGCAGGTACTCAATCCCACCAGCTTAGCATTATGGAAGGTCATCTTCAAGTTCCCGGGAAGCGTCATGCTGATGTTCTTCTCCAAGTAGAGTGGATCCAAAGACGGGATCCCGGCCTCCGGGATTCCCTTCACTATTCCCGGGATAGCATCCATTGTGGCTTTTGTGAAACATTCGTCACTTAGTTCTGAACATGGATGGATGTAGTCAGCTGTGAAATATTATAAACATCATTTTATTTTAGAATATTATATTGTTTATTGTTATAAGCTGTTCAAGCCGTGTAGTGAGGACAATAAGGCCAGAGTAGTAATCTTCTTAGAATTTTATCTTCTTAGAATTTTCTTGAATTAAAAATAAATTCTTGAATTAAAAATAAAACAATAAAGCTTTGCTTCAGTTAGAAACCGCACCTACGGTTTAGTAAGGTAGAATCGGAAGTCGTAGTTGAGTTAATCTAAAACTCATAAATGATTAAGATAGAATATTTCATCTTACGGGACACACTATTTGATTATACTAAAAGAAAACAAGAGCCTTTAGATAAAACTCCAAAAATTAAAAAAAAAGAACAAACGGTTACATTCAAAATCCGAACGTCATGTCATTTAAAAAAGAGAACTTACGCAAAGGTATCAATTGCAAACTGCCATAAACGCACACACTAAACACTACCAACACAAAATGTTTGCGAATCGACATTTTCTTAGTCTTTCACAATATTTTCTTTACCAATGCACACTTGCGTTGCATACGACGCCAGTAACTCGAATGTTCGTTACTTGTCTAAATGATCTTTAATTTCGTAGTGATTAAACAACACTTCAAGGATTTAAGGTGTGTTTTCATTGTGACGACCGCGTCTTAGAAGGCCGCGACCGATCGCACGTGGTCGTCTGCGACACGTAGAAATGTCGTAACTGCGATTCTCTTGTGCCATAATTATGTAAATCGTTTCATTGTACTCCCAATACAAGTGTAGACAATTATTTTGTTGTTGAAATTTTATTAGTCATAAAATTGTTCATGACGTTTTTGATTTATTGATTGGTGACTTCATACTAATATGTATTGAAACTGATACATTAATACACTAGTAAAAATTGATCTTTCAAGTACCCAATGTCTTGTTGTGGTTATAGAAAATACAAATATCTATTACCTTCTATGCTCCAATGAGAGATTGAATTTGGTAATTTATTAACAGTCACATAATATTAAAACTATTTTTTTAATACGATTCTTGCGGTGGCTGGGCAATTGGCTGCCGCGCTATGAGTCGCGGGTTGGATTCCCACACGGAACAACTCTTTGTGTGATCCACAAATTGTTGTTTCGGGTCTGGGTGTCATGTGTGTGTGAACTTGTATGTTTGTAATCACACCCACGACACAGGAGGAAATTCTATAGTCGGGCAACATTTCTTTTTTATTACAATTCTGCTAAAAAAACCTTTTAATTATTGTCAACATAATAAAAAAATATATATACATCTGTTCCATGACTAAATACAAACGATGACTTCGACGACAGGTTTTAGTCGTGCGATTAAAAATCGCAAGTCATAAGGAAACGCTTTAGGCCGTTCACAATCGACCTTTACTTCATCTTCTGTGTATGTCATAAGCTTGGGTTAAGTAACACATCATGTTAAACTACTCTACCAATAACCATAGACGTCAAAAGACTCTTATTTCCTGAGTTATAAAGCTTATTTTAGTTTGTACGGTTAGGTTCGTTGTTTGATTGTTTCGTTGGTCTAGAAGTTTCAAACTCGTTTGTTGAATGTGAGTTCCTAGACTTATTTTGCATAATTGATACACAGCTGTGGAGGACTTAACGGCTTGCCAGGGTTCCGGCTCGAAGTGCAGGGGTAGGAACGGGATGGTTTTTAGTCAGTAAGAGTCCGACACTCCCTTCTGCCTCACGCAGGCAGGAGAAGACATTCGATGAGTTTCCCCCCTTAACTCGTCGAGTACCGTCATTATAGACACAATTATAGAACAACAGTTTAAAAAAGATTTCAATCCATAATCTGTAAATAAGGAAGTATTTTTGTCATTACTTGTATGAATTTACTGATATACAAAAATCCAGAGGTTGGCATTAAAATTAGTTATTGAACATAACATAACATCACGCCTTTTAACCCCGAAGGGATAGGCAGAGACATTACGGCACTTAATGCCATTGTACAATGTAACACCCACTTTCACTATTTATGTTATGAGTCCCATGTAATAGGGGGTGCGCCTATTGCCATATACCGGGTACAATTCCAGACTCCGTGCTACTACTGAGACTTTTGAAAACACCCAGTAGTATTACTGGGCGTTTTGCCCGACCCGGGAATCGAACCCGAGACCCCTTGTCCGGCAGTCGCACAATCACCAATAATTCGATAGGCCAGCAGTAAAGTCCAAACCAATTGACTTTAAGTTAGCCATGAGCTCATTTACCTCTACATACACAATTATAATTTGAAATCTAGTATTTAAAGTGTCTAGAAGATTACCGGACGAATGCAGTTATTTAAGTCTAGATTGTCACTGGAAAATACGTTCAAGTCACCAGTAATGGATTGCAAATGTATTATTAATTACTTGACATGAAATAAAATTTGTAATTAGATGAGTTATCACTTATGTAACTTGATATCAACCTTGTTGTGGGTCAGTTAAGCAGGAATGTAACACAACATCACGCCTTTTTATACCCGAAGGGTAGGCAGAGGTGCACATTACGACTTACGACACTTAATGCCACTGTAGATTGTAACACTCACATTTCACTATTTACGTTATGAGTCCCTTGCACAGATATATTATTTCTGTGGTCTCTTGTAATAGGGGGTGAGCTTATTCCAGACTCCGTGCTACTACTGAGTAGTATTAAAAAACCAACTTTGCCCGACTCGGGAATCGAACCCGAGACCCCTTACCCTGCAGTCGCGTCGCGGAGAACCTAACGGGTAACCGGGGCTCCGGCTCGACGTGCAGGAGAAGGAACGGGGTGGTTTTTAGTCAGTAAGAGTCTGACACTCCCTCCCGCCTCACCCAGGCGGGGGCAGTCATTCGATGATTTTCCCCCCTTAAAAAAAAAAAAAACCCTGCAGTCGCATTTGCGATCACTCGGTTAACGAGGCAGTCAAGCAGGAATGTATGATAATCTTATTAAAGTATGTTTTAGGAATCAGGAAGTTCACAAACGGTACTTCAATTGGGATGGTGACAGGGTATGAAAAATAAAAATCTAATTAGTCCGTCAGTTAGGTAATGAAAAAATGTTTTATTTTGTCGTATAATAATACAATACTTAGATAAAACGAATCAAAGTTTAGGAGTGTTGGCTAAAATGTCAGTTCTACGTATAAAATGTACATAGAAGTGACGTCACGCGACATTTCAAATCAATATCGTCGAAAGTATTCGTTTCTGTAAGAAAATAAAAAATACGTGTCTAATGATTTAAAACAATCTACCAGACGGACATTAAAATAAAAATTAGGTATCTACCCTATTGGGATAAAGAGTGTAAAAATATACTTAAAGACCAATGAGTCCCAAGGTCATAATAGGTAAAGAAATGGTTTAGATTTCTATTAAAACGTTCGTGGGATATACTAAATTAATTATTATGTTTCAGCAGCGCGACAGTCGCCGCGTCGTGAGTCGCGGAATGCTGCTTATGAACATGAACCCCCAGCATGGTTTGAAACTAGTCGAGTTCCTCGTCAGTCATAACAGTTACGTGAGTAAGCCGAAAATCTAATAATTATTAGGGGTTTGGGTTTTTTTACAACTGATCTGAAGATGTCATGGGGAAATGAAATACTGTTTCCACTGTGCTTAGCGTTTAGCAGGATACATGACATCTACCTACATGATACAATGTCGCCACCCAGTACTATTACCTACTCGTTATAGATGAGTTTTTCAAGTCTATTTTTATCAGTTATTAATACTCTAGTGAGCACCAAAAATGTTATATCTTTAGGTATTCTGTGGTTAAATAAAGAAAATCGGAGAACGAATAATTCAGTTGTTTTATTTTGCGTCTACCCGTATTTCCATCGCGGAGAACCTAACGGGTAACCGGGGCTCCGGCTCGACGTGCAGGAGAAGGAACGGGGTGGTTTTTAGTCAGTAAGAGTCTGACACTCCCTCCCGCCCACAGATATATTAAAATATTTCTGCCTGGGTGAGGCGGGAGCAGTCATTCGATGATTTTCCCCCCTTAAAAAAACCCGTATTTCCATATCTATGTTTATAAATAATTTCGTAACATTAAATGTAGTTTTTGCAACAATCTGTTCAAGGATTTCTATACGTCGGAAACATTGTGAGTGTTCATATTTTTTGTGGAATTAAATATCTAATTTTGTCATTTGTACGTAATGCTTGTTATTTGTCTCAAATGACACGAGGAACAACTTCTTGTTAGATAAATAACAAGTAATAAATTAAGGAACATATAACTAAATCTATTTTGACATGTTTAAACTGTCAAACACCGCGAGGACAAAGATTTAAGCTGTCAAACACCAAGCGGTCACCGGTGACCGCAACCTATTGTTCTATAATTGTGTCTACAAAACCGGTACTCGACGAGTTAATTGTCGCGGAGAACCTAACGGGTAACCGGGGCTCCGGCTCGACGTGCAGGAGAAGGAACGGGGTGGTTTTTAGTCAGTAAGAGTCTGACACTCCCTCCCGCCTCACCCAGGCGGGAGCAGTCATTAGTTGATTTCCGCCCCTTAAAAAAAAAAAAAATTGTTCTTTAATTGTGTCTATAATGACGGTACTCAAAGATTTAAGTATATTTTACAATACTTTTATAGGATGTCTTTTTACCTGAGGGTAGCAGGGGGTGAACGAGCAAATGGATCACTGTAAATAATTGACACTGCCCATGGACACCCGTACCGCTAAAGATGACAAAGACAACAGGAAAGAGAAGGTTATTATGAAAGTATTCTACGATGACATCACCATACGATGAGATATCAATATATCCTAATCACCAATCTTCAAATACATTTATTTTTCTGATAAGTCAGCTACAACTTTCCGAAATTGCCGCAACTTCTGTAAGCCAGGATCTACAGTAGATATAACCATGAAAACAACGGAACGCATCCTGAATAACTGGATCGACTTGGATCTAGCAACGAAATCAATCAGAAGATATCTTACAATTACATTTAGCAAATAATAACTTTTCTCTGCCTATCCCACTATCGCTCAATGACCACATACATACGTAAACAAACTGGTTTCCATGCAACTGTTGCGACTTGCGATCAGTAGTTACCTAACTTGCTGCACTAATAACTCTAAGTACTAGACTAGATGTAGTGACGAAACCTGTACCTATACCTGTATGTAACAATATGGTGTGAAGGTATGACAATTCATGACCTTGTTTGTCATTGAGTTAGTTTGATTATTTTTATAATAATATCGTGATACATACTGAATAAACCGGGCAAGGGATCTCGGGTTCGATTCCCGGGACGGGCAAAGTATTACTGGGTTTTTAAAAAATCTCAGTAGTAGCACGGAGTCCGGAAATGTGCCCGGTATATGGCAATAGGCTCACCCCCTATTACATGGTACTCATAACATAAATAGTGAAAAGTTGGTGTTATATTGTACAGTGGCATAATGTGCACCTCTGCCTACTCCTTCGGGGATAAAAGGCGTGATGTTATGATGTTGTTGATGTATACTAAATTAACTAAAAATATCGGTTTAGACACGTTAATATTGGTATACTGAGAAAAGCGAC